TTTTCTTTTTCAAGCAATCCTTCAATTTGTTTACCATTCGCGTGAAAACACATGAAAGAACACACATCTCCGTTCAAAGAGTCTTTTTTTTGCTGCATTTTATATTCAAGGATTCTTAATCCGAGCAAAAATTCCCATCGACAAAAATTTTTCATTCAAAACCCAGTTGCATTTGTTGTTGAAAAGCAGCGTACATTTCAGTCATTACGAACGTAATCAAAGTTTCACATGTTTATCATTCATGAAAAGTTGATTTGATCACGATTTGTTCCGATCGAAACACCGAAATTAACTTTTGTGATGATTGCGCATTCCATCACTGCAATTCGCCATCGTTCGTAGCTCAGCACTGGATCCGCTTTCGCAGAGTGCTCAACTTGTCAGTGTCACGTCATATTTTGCACATAACAGGTTTGTGTAGACATCTCAATCGTCAATCAACCAACCAGTTGACCAATGTCCATTCAACTGAAGCTTCACCAATCTGCTCATCACACTTCATCATCTCCATAGTACCGTAAATGAATCATCAATCATCAAATAACGACGAACAGCAACGGTCACTTAGAGTCAGCGAAAAATGCCTTGCGGCCCACATTACTTGCTTATCGTTGATGTGTGCGCTCGTCGCTCAATAAATCAGCACTATGCATTCATCGTCAGCGTATAGGCAAACTCATTTGTATTTGTACATTTGTTTGCATTTGCTCATACAAATTATCAGTTGTTAATGACTGATAACAGTGATTACACACGTTGAAAGCGGTTTCCACATTGCTTGTTTGTTTACCACCAACACCATCAGTGATAACAGCTGCCAGTTCTAGTTTTTGTCAATGGCACCGTTCAATGTTCAAGATGAATCTCTCAAATCTAAATCCCTGCGCTTGAATGAATGAATGAATCAGCAAATGTTTCGTTAGCCACATTCATCGCAATTCAGGGAATGACCAACTCATATTTTGATTGGAAAACGTCAACGTGTTTGATTGGAAAACGAATCAATCGTCAACGTGATCTAGTCAATTGTGGAAAAGTTTCGTGCGATTTCCCACTTCAAAAATCACTCATGTTCGAAACATTTGCAATAGTTATTATAGCACAACTGAATTGTTCAATGAGCTTTGATTTCTGTTCAGCTTTTTCACATCTTCAAATCATTTAATTCGATTTAAGTGAAACTCAGGAACTTAAACCTAATGTGACCCAGTCAATTTCAATTTACCAAACTCTCTCATAAGCTGTAAATGTAGCAAGTGTAAAAGTTATCTGCCTCCTTCTATAGCGGCTATTGCGCTTGAATCGTTCATCTCAAATCGTTCATCTTGGGTAATTAGACCAACTGAAACAATGAGTCAA